TGATTATCAAGTGCACGTGCAATTTACTGGAGATTCCATCTTCAGGATGAACTTCTTCTGGAGGTTATGAGAGTGACTGTCTTTCTATATATAATTTAGTTTGCCGCGGACTTTTATCTTTTACACTAACATGTTTTATATGCTTCTGACATACTAAATCATCAATGATATATTCAACATGAATATGGGGCTTAGTCACTCTTTTCTTGGCAGATTATCATGTGAACTTCTGATTCAGTTTGACTATTACGTGGATATAAATATTGAAGCATCAATGGAATTTCTTGACATTATTTTGTATTTTGGGCACTAATCTCCCCCTAATGTCGAGAATTGATCTTCAATAAAAATGCAGTCAGCGTACTAAATTGTAAATTGATCCCCCTAACATGGACCATATGTACTAAATTATTGACGGAGTTTTATAAATAATGTATGTACCTTCATCGAGGTCCCATAGAGGTACGCTATGGTGGTGATATAGATAACATGGACTGCAAATAATACGCAGATGGGAAATATTTTGCTTCTACACCATGTATTAGATAAAAGGGGGAAATTTGTGATATGCAGTTGGTCGGATTTGGTTTGAATGCCCCATTTAATTTAAGGAAATCCGACAAATCATATTTTGCCCAAGATGAACCCAATAGCTCATGCCAGAATTTAAAAGAATTTAGGTCCCTAAACTCAAACTTATCGCAACATGTTGTATTTTAGGTCAGACAAATTCTAAAATATACACATATGAATAAAAAACACATAGGTTCACAAGAGTTTAAAGCAAAATCAAGATAAATTAAAATTGTCTGACAAATGTATATAATCCAAATATAGAGAAACCAAATAGTTCGATAAGATCCATTACCTTCCCCTAGACCAAGCTTATGAATATTAGTTTGAATTATGACATGTGCTTCAGGCACTACGACTGAACCAATTAAACTTGCATTATGGTTTCTCACAACAGCTGGGTGTGTTTTTAACAACTACTAATACAAGGATTAGTTCATAATGCTTAATATAATTTTGAGTTGTACTATTGTAAGAGTACAATGTTACTTGTTGAATTGTATTCAGTCGAGGGTTTAAAATCCAAAAATGGCTACAAGATAAGATCTCCTATTATGTTCATAGCTTCCCCCTTGTCCACGCGTATAAGTAATTTTCTGAATTGTAGCATGTGCTACAAACACAACTCGTAAGCCAACTAGTCTGACATTGTGATTTCTAATCATCAATTGATTGTGCTTCTCTGCGACTACTAATCAATTCAGAATGCTAAGTGCAATTCTTGGTCATGTACTGCTGTTGGAGTACAATATCATTTGCGTGGAATAGGGAAAAGAATTTTTTCCGATCAATTTTATCACTGTCTGTAATGTTCTGCTTATAGAGTTTTAGCTGCTAGATAATTTGGTACAGAGCTGAATCATATTTAGTCATGTATTTGAAATCCAAAAAGTTCTGATTCAGTCTGCCAGTTGCGTTTGAGGGAAAATTATTTGTTTTCATAGATCAAAGCGATCCTTCAGGGATTGCCCAGAAAAGTAAATACTTTTTCAGTGAGGCATTAATTTTTTACGTCTTAATTGATAGAAATAAAATTTAAAGTGTTTGCCTTCTGAACAAAGATACTTAAATAATCAAGAGATATAATCGTGCAAAAATCATAAGGGTGTCAGTAAAAATGAACATTCGAGGCGAAAAAAATAATAATTACTATCATATATCACAGTACACTAATCATGGGGACGAAAGATTAGTGCATGAGAAATTAGAAATATTCACATTTTAATAAGATCACCAAAATCACCAAGCTCCTTTTTCTAAAGGTCTCCATAAAGGTTATCTTTCAAATGTTTGCTTCTGGCAATCTAGCATGATGTTTTGTCTTCCCTATGAGTCAAATTTAACAGTAACACAATACATGCATATGTCGAGGATGTATGATATTGATACAATACTAATAATAAATTTGTCACAAAAGATGATGAAAGTGTCAGAATCAATGATTTAAAAAAAAAATTAATAAGCATACATGAATATACACAAAACAACATCCGTAATTGTCATGTGAAAATAATAGCCATACTTGTCATATGGAAATAATAGGTACTGCCACAATGCAAATGTTTATAAGTCATATGACTCATCGTCCTCATCTCCAACCTCATAAATAGTATAATCAATTAAACATTGACCTTTGATTTTTTATTACCAAGAAGGATTGAATTTCCAACTTAAATGCCATATCTATTTCCTTCTCTACATTATATTTACTCAAACAAGTTGAGTTTAACTTGTATAGCATACCTTATGTCCTTTGGTTACATTAATATTACTGTAACCAAATGATACTATAAACAAGAAATAATGCTGAATACATGATTTATTTGCATATGAGAAACCTATATGATTTAATGACAGTAGTGTAATTGAAATGACAGTAGAATAAGTAATTTTCATGACATACATTATTGCCAAATTATTTTTCTAGTGACCAAAGGACAAGATTATAGTGCAATATTTGGTTACATTAATATAGTGGAATTTGAAATAATGAAAGATGTATTATCATAAACAAGAAATATTATGTCGTTAAAGATAATGTCATTTGGAAAGATTAACTATAAACAATAGAGAAAAATGTATTGAGAAATTAAAAACCGAAAACACTATGGTTTATTTGTTGGACATATCTGATATTATAATAATATTTACAAATTATAAATATGCTGATAATTTTGTGTGAATTTTCTAGCTAAGTTTATACGTTTCATTTGGAAAGAAATGATGTATTGAGAAAATGAACACCACTATAATTCATGGAATGTCGTTAAAGATTATAGTGCAATAGAGTACATGATTTCAATCGCATAACACCTCTTTCATGATTTACTGAATAACAATAATATAGTGGAGTATCTTTAGCACATTTTATGTACGATGTAATCTCTTTCACAATGGTTGGAATAATGATTACTGAATAAACAAGTTATTTGTTTCACAAGAGAAATAAATGATGTATTGCTAAGTATATTAATGTAATCTTCTAGTACAAGATTACAGAAGCTGAATCATGTACGATGTTGTGGATTCCTTGTAATCATATTTCTTGATACTATGTAAATAGACAAAGGCTGAATGTATTATTACCTTGCAGAAGATGTATACCTAAAAATCTATTACTACGAACTGATGATCACGAACCGGCTAGAACCACTCGTGCTGATAACGTGTTGTAATATACTAAAGAAATGAAACAAGAGACAAGAGACAAGAGACAAGAGAAGAAGAGAAATTGTAATATTTTATTCATATCTTCCATTTCCATACATCGTACAATTTATAGATACATGATGGAATACAAAAGGACATGTAATTAATAGTCCACATACAAAGTAATGTCCACATACATTTTGTCTTTTAGATATCAACAAAATGTCTTTTAGATATCAACAAAATGTCTTTTAGATTTCAACAAGAGTTAACTTGATTGTACTGTGGTATTTTTCTTCCATTTATTACGAAAAGATGAAAGGAGAGAACGAATGATTAGCTAATTAAGAATTAATTAGAATATAAAGAGGTTTAAGGAAGAGAGAGAGAAACCAATTAGCCTGATCAATTAGGACAGATTTTGTGAGAGAGCTATTTAAAGCTCTGTGGACCCCACCAGTTATCTTTTATTTATTGTTTATAACCCCAAAGCATCAATCATAAGATCTATCTAACGGCTACAAACGTAGGGGACGGAGGATAGTGTGTGTGTTAATATATATATATATAAAAGCGTCTTATGTATGACTAATCATTGTCTTGGATGCTTTCTGTTGTGTGCGCTGCAGATTTTTTTTTTTTTTGCTAATTAATTAAGCATCTCTTGGAGTTGAAAATGATAGCAAGCCGCATGATTTTACACCTGGGATGTGGTCATGGGTATATTTGCCCACAGACTTGATTGAGCCCAACAGGTTGTTGTTTTGTGCCTACACAATTGCATGCGCCACGTGAAATTCCCATGCCATCATTTTGTCTTGTTCTCATACTACCACACTCTTGTTGAAAGAGAAGCAACTGGAGGAAATTGATTCAATTTATTCCTCATCTTTTTTTTTTTGTTTTACATTTTTTTTTTGTCATGTTTACCAACTTGCTGCAAGAAAAATTCACAGAACTCAACGAAACACGGGGAGAGATCAAATTTGACTGAGAGAGCAATTGTGTTTACTAGTCCATGCATGTGGCCTTAGTTAACTCAGATTAACTTTTTTTGGTTATATATATATACTACAAAATTTTATGATCATCTACTGTGCTTACATAGAATCGATCTAATTAATTATTCAGTAATACATTTAAACACCCAACCATACCAACAGTTAACAGACTTTAATTTGATGTAATCAGTAAACCCATTTTTAACAACTAAACGGGCTTCCCTGTTTGATTAATTAATTTAGACCTGTGTTGATGTCTTTGGAAGTCTCCGTCACAATGACCTTAAATGTAGAAACCACGTACGTTAATTTGTTTGTATTTGTTTTCTCTGTTTATCTTTCTTTATCAGTTATTATGTATTTGTCATCATCTCTTCTTCTTCTTCTTCTTCTTCTTCTTCTTCTTCTTCTTCAAGTCTCTTAATCTACCATTTGCCAGAAACCTAAGATTCAACAGAGGGGCCGCGGTCGATTGCCTGCCAGAAACCTGAGATTTCTTTTAGTCATATAGTCTTCTCTTGAATGGAGATGGATTTTTTTTTTTTTTTTTTTTTTTGGGAATAATGAAGATGAAGATTACAAGTCACTATACCTGAGGAATTAAAAAAAGCATTGATAACTCTTAAAAAAAAGGGCCTTTGCGAAATTTTTTGTGGTCTTAGACAACTTGATATGTCCATATTAGTTTCATTGTTTCATGACATTCTCATATATTTCCATCTCCTTTCCTCAGGTGTTTTTGAAATTACTAAATTTCTGTACTATGACAAAAGATCATAATAACAACAGGAAGTTCAGAGTAAATTTATAGAAAAGATATACTATAGTTTACAACACAACAGATCCTAGCTAACATACATGCACCAAGCAAGTTACAATAACTTTTTATACGTACTACCATCACAACATCCTAAATACCTCAAAACCTCCCGTCAAACTTATTCATATTTTCCTACAAAGACATGAGAGGGAACAGACTGAAGCATTCACAAGCTCTCTCTACAGAAAACATTTCCCTGTTCCTCATTCGCTGTTCGAATACCTAGTAGTCCAGTACTTCTCAATCTCTTCGGCTGTTCTTCCAGGAATTCTTCCAGCGATCAGAGACCACCTGATGGAAGGAAAAAAAAGCCCATTCTTATATTTCAATTAAAAAAACATACCAAATTTAGAAACAAAGCCGAGATTAACAAACCTCTGTCCGATTAGCTTGTACATCTTAGCAACCAGTATCTCTTCGTCCTCCGAAAACTCCAGTACCTTGGACTCCTCATTCTTCTCTTCTGAAACAAGTAGTCAACAAGAAATGAGCAAATTGATGATGAGTTAAACAGGCAATAATCGCAACCGAGTACCTTTGAAATCAACCACGATATCCTCTGATGATTGTTTTAACTCAGCCATCTTGCAAATAAATGCACAAGTTTTGAACTATAGTAAGCTTTGTGAGTACCTACTGAAGAGGAGGATATATAATAAAGAGAAGAAAGTACTGGTGGGGAGGGGGGGGGGGGGGGGGTTCAGTAAGTGTATAATGTGAGAATGAATGGTAGAAAGAGGGATGAAGACTGGTGGATTGATTGGTTGAAATCTTGCTGAGGTTCTGGTAATTAATGAACTGTTGTTATTTGTCATGATTAAAAGTCCACAGAAAGATGATAAATGGACAATTCATACTGGATAATAAAATTCTAATTATGGATGCATGTTTTGTGACTTCTGTCTTCGAGTGTTTATTGACTTTTGGTTGTGACTCATTTGACAAATCAAATTTTGGAAAAGAATCCTATGGAGGGCTCCATATTGAAAATCAGGGAGAAAGTATGTTGTGACACGTCTTATGTACCAATCTTTTTTTTTTAATATAATAAGAATAGGGCAAGATGCCCTATCAAAAGTATATTATAACCAGTAAGATAATGTTTGAACTTTTAATATCTTGGAGTGATTTCGAAAGAAGCAAACTAGAGGGAAGAGGAGCGCACCAATGTCGTCACTCTTCACCTCCAGCAGATCCAATAGAAAGCATCGATAGATATCAACCGAAACTATGCAAAATAAAAGTCATAGAGATGTTGGCAGTCCCAACATCAAGCCAAAACAACTTGTTTATCAAAAATAAAACAAAAGTATCAACAACAACCAATGTATCATGGATTCCCTGCACCGTTATTGTCTTCACTGGATGATAGGAGCTCTCTCTGGGTTTTCTTTAGCTTCACTCCCTTCTTATTTGCCGAGAGACTTGTCCAGAAAAGGAGAAAGTGAGCCATATTTGTTGCCATCTTTCTAGCTTGAGGAACATCTCCTGAGAAAATCAAGTTGTTGAAGAAATTACAGAAACTCAGAAGAATCAGGCAAACCAGGCGGCGGTCGACCGGTCCGGTCGACCGCATTCGTGCACAAAGCTTACTGTGCGACAGAAAGGTGGTCGGTCGACCGGGCCAGTCGACCGCAGGTGTTTCGGTCGACCGGTGCGGTCGACCGAGGGGTTCTCTGGAGTTTTGGGTTTTCTGCTGGGAGCTGGTCGGTCGACCGGACCGGTCGACCGGAATTGATCGCGGTCGACCGTGCCGGTCGACCGACGGAAATCTGGGCTGGGCTTTTTGGTTTTCGACCCGTTTCGTTTTGTAATCTATATATACCCTAAACCTGATTTGTTAGGGTATTAAAAGGACGATTTTGAGCAGTCCTTTTGAGAGAGTAGTTGCATCCAAGTTGTGGGGGAGCTTTGGAGAGATCAAGAGCTTTGTTTTAGGGTTTGGTCTGAGAGATTATAACTCTATTTGTATTCCCTTGATTTCTAGTAGTAAAATCTCCCCCCTCCTTGCCCCGTGGACGTAGGCAACTTGCCGAACCACGTAAATCTCTTGTTATTGGTGATTGTGCTTGTTGATTTTGATTGTGATCTCTCTTGTTTGGGTTGTGTGTGAATCGAACGCTTTCGCGCCGCGCACAACAGTTGTTTCAAGCTCTCCAAATGCACCAATAGATAGTAGGCATAGATATTCCAAAATTTCCAAGCCTGAGAGCCTATTAAGGCATCACTACAAAAACTAAAGCATTGAGCAACGTTTGTAGGCAAAGATAAGTCTCCCAATTTAGGTAGGAAGAAGTCCCAAACATGTTTTGCAAAAGAACAATACATGAAGATGTGCTCATGATTTTCCGGAGCCTGTTGACATATGGAACAAAGAGGATCACCTACCCAACCTTTTTTAACAAGTTTGTCTTTTATATTCAGTTTTGCAAAGAAAGAAGCCATAAAAAGAACTTTATATTACTCAGCAATATATTATTCCATATGACATAAGTGTAAGGACTACGAATACCGCCATTAGAAAGAATATTATGTAAAGACCTCACTGTAAAAACTCCTGATCTGTCTAAAGGCCAAGTAACCTGATCCAAATCCACTGTAGGACTTAAATTGGATGAATAGAGCAAATGTTTGAGCGCTTCAACCTGAACATGATCATTATCTCCTATAGGTCTTTTGATAATAGGTCTCCAATGCCAAGTATTCTCATGAATATTCCCTTGGACAGCAATAGAGACATGCTTCGAGAAAGCAAGTTTGTATACCAATGGAAACAGATTAGCGAAAGAGTTATCTCCTATCCATTTATCCTCCCAAAACTATATTCTTAAACCATTACCTACTCGCCATTTGATCAAATCTATTAAAGGTTGACAGATAGTAGCATTATCCTTCCAAAACTTAGAACAATGGCCTCTAGAGAGTGTGCTATAAGACAGAGATTGATAATTTGATTGAAGAACCAACAACATAAGAATCTCTTGAGAGAAATTTTCACATCCATTTAGAGAGAAGAGAAAAATCGAAAGTTTCAAGATTAAGAATACTAAGACCCCACTTTTCTTTGAAGAACAGGAAGTACTCCATTTAACTAAAGCCTTCATTTCTGAATTTTTATCACTACCTCTCCATAGAAAGTTACGCCTAATCTTGTCCACTGTCTTGATAAGTCATTTAGGGATTTAAAAAAAACATGTAGTAAAGAGGAAGAGATGATAGAACATAATTTAGAAGAACAAGACGCCCTCCAAAAGATAGATATTTGGATTTCCATAAAGAAAGCTTTCTATGAAAAGGATCAAGAAGCTGTTAGTCTAAGGGATGTAGACTCAAAGCTGGAATCAAACAAATTGTTGGATAGCAGGTTTTGTAATCTGTTTTGGTAACACGATTCTTAGTCTGTTTTGGTAACATTCTTAATTTGTTTTGGTAACAGGTTATTAGGATTTTTAAATTTTAATTTTTAGTTTTAGAATTCCTAGTCTCTTTTGGTTTTAGGTTTTTTATATATATGGAACGTCTTAGAAGAGATTAGACATCAGAAAAGAGGTTTTGAGAGAATTCTTCAGAGAGATCTCAGAGAGATTAGATTCTATTTGTGAGCAGCATAATCTTCTTCAATATTAATCAAAGAATTATGTGGTGTGGCTCCCGAGGACGTAGGCACGATTGCCGAACCTCGTTAAATCTGGTATGTTCTTTCTTGTTTATTTTCTTGTAAGTTTTTTATCTTTTATTTGCTTTGATTTTTTCTACTTTCTTACTCTCAAACACAATGTCCGGAATGATAAGGGTTCGATTTGATTATTTTGAATCCCCAACAACTAGTATCAGAGCTTCGTTCAGAAGGATTGTGAGAGAGCCATGACAGAGGAAATCAAATCTAAGATCGAGAAGTTTGACGGTTCAGACTTCGCCTACTGAAAGTCACAGATGGAGGACTATCTGTACCAGAAGGACTTGTATCGTCCGTTGATGGGCAAGGCTAAGAGAAAGAAGAAAGAAGAGTTAGACGAGGATAGGAAGATACTGGATAGCAAGGCTCTAGGAAAAATCCGGTTGTCGCTCGCCAAGACAGCCGCACACAACATATTGAAGGAGAAGACAATGACGGGGCTTATGGAAGTGCTCGCGAAGATGTACGAGCAACCGTCTGCCGCAAACAAGGTGCATCTCGTCAAGACACTCTTTAATCTTAAGATGGCAGAAGGACGCTCCTTCATAATGCACCTCAACGAGTTCAACACGATTATTGATCAACTCATCTCCGTAGACATCACGTTCGATGACGAAGTGCATGCCCTATTGATTCTATCGCAGTTGCTGAATAGTTGGGCATGTTGTGTGACGGCAATCAGTAATTCGACAGGGAAGGATAAGTTGAAGCTGAGCGAGATTGTTAGCATGATTCTATCCGAGGAGGTTAGAAAGAAATCCTCCTAATCAGAAGATTCAGGTTCAACCCTAAATTTTGAGCAAAGAGGCAGAAGGCAAAAGAAGGGGAATCAGAACAGGAATCAGTCAAAGTCAAACAAGAAGAGGTCAAACTCGAAAGTTAGGTCTATCAAAGAGAAGTGTTGGAGCTGCGACCAGGAGGGCCATATGTCTTCAGCTTGTAAATCACAAAAGAAGGATGCGAATGAGCAGAAGGCTCATATCGTGCAAGATGCCTTGATCCTAGTTATGGATAGTGATTCTGATTCCTGGGTCATCAACTCAGGAGCCTCGTTCCACGCCACTGCTTATAGGAAGCTTCTTCATAACTATGTAGCAGGAGACTTTGGGAAAGTATATTTGAGGGATAATGAACCCTGTAATATTGTTGGAAGAGGAGATGTGCAAATACAGTTGACGAACTCCAAGTGGAATCTGAAGAACGTGAGGCACGTACTGAAGCCGAAGATGAATCTTATTTCGGTTAGCCATCTTGGAGCAGAAGCCTATATTTTGATATTCACCGGGCATTCGTGGATGATCTCAAACGGTACTATGGTTGTTGCCCGAGGCAATAAAATTGGAACTCTCTACCTCACCTGTAAGGACCATGAATTTTTGATACTAGTTAAAATAAATTTTTGGTATTTTAAAATATTTAATTATGATTTTTAAAAGAGTATTTGTATTTTTCTCGATTTTCTACAATTTTCTATGATTTAAAAATCTGATTATATATTTATTTAAATAATTTTTATATTTATAAATTTATTTTGTGCGGTAAAAATTTCTAGAATTAATTTGTTGAGATATCGGTACTATTACGTAATATTTTAAATAATATATTACATTATTAATATTATTATAAATTATTTCATATAATACATGATATTATTAATTACGTGTTTTTGGTATAATTTATTGTATTATTTGTATTGTTACATATTATCTGTCTTATTAGTATAACTAGTACGTTTTACTGTGTATATAATTATCCCATAATTATTTGATTTTAAATATAAGTAAATATATTATTATTATTATTTATTCTAGTTTAATTGTATAATATGTGTATATTTTGACTATTTCGTTTTAACCGTTGTAATAGCATAACATGTACGCTTTTAATTGTAGATAATTATTATGTAATTAGTTTAATTTTTAAGTACCTGTAGTTATTTATTTTAATTAATTTCGTTTTAAAATAATTAAC